CACAGCCTGGAAATTTTTTTTGGCAGTTTTTTTAGTTTTATACTTGTTTTTGAGGCAGAAGCTTTGCTGACCTCTACATTCTGCTACACTTGAAAGTCTACTTCTATTATCTATATATAAAACTATTCTTAAAAGATTATACAAATATGCCTTCTTATAATTCCTATTGTAAGTGGATCAACATATCATAGCTTGGCTTTTTAAAAGCAACAGCATCTTTCCAAAACAATATAACTTAAAATTCAATTTAAACTTTTGATTTTTAGAGGCAGTTATTCATGTTAATATTTTCTGTCTAATTACACAGATATAAGTTCTCAATATAGTAAAAGGTTAAAAAATTAAGTTATTTTTTCCCAGGTGACCAACTATGTATTAAAGAAATGTCCAATCTATTCTAAAAGCTCTTCTGAAGCATAAAAGTCTCTATTATTTAAAAAGGTGTTTCATATGAGCATTACCATGCATTTTGTTTTGTTGGAACATAATCTTAAATGCTAATATCACTATTTTTGTTATTTAAGGAAAAATGAGTATTAAAACGCTCACATGACTGTTTTTATGTTGTTTGAGGAAAAATGAGTATTAAAATGTAGATTACTTAAGTGTTTTTGAAGTGCCTGAGCTTTCAGTTTAACCTAAATTCATTTAAATGATTTCCCATTAATTTCTTCCTGAACCAATATATTGATAGTTCTAGTTGCCGTAAATATAAACCTAGATTTTTTTTTAAAACTAAGATCCCTCTTGCCTTTGGTTATAATCAGTTGTCACATGTTCCTGAACATTTAGACATTAGTCAGTAATATTTTCACCATCCTGCATACCTCTATAGGAGCTTTTTGTTTTTAGATGTTGAAACTGGGCCCTGTTACAGGATTTCAGACCTTACTGCGGATGTCTGAGTGCTATTGTCCTTGTCTGTTTAGATATCAACGGGTCAAATTATAACAGCCAACTGAGTGCTTATGTCAGGCATTATTTTGAACACTGTTCTGGCATTTTCTCATTGAAGGATAATAATCAATCTATGAGATAGATGTTATTAGTTCCAGGATGAGATGAATAACTAGAGACATAAAATGGTTAGGGAGATTGACCAAAAGTTCACAGCTACTGAGTAGGAGAGCAGAACTTGACCTTAAACTGTCGCAACTGCAGAGCCCATGTCTGCTCTTACCCACTTGCTATACAGACTGAGCAAAAGACGACTCCTGGAGGCGAAGTCCAAGTCTTTACCGAGCAGCATCAAACAAGCAGAGCTGCAGGGTGACACGGGCCTACATCTGCTTAGGAAATGGTCCCCTGAGCTGTAAGTGCGCATGCGTCTCCAGGGCGTGTGTTATACTCAGATATGGTTCTTCTTCTCCGGTCTTGTAAAGATCAGCCTGTAGGCCTGGAAGGAAGAGGCAAGTTCTTCACTCTGTGATGAAGCCATTCCTCATGAGTCTCCAGGTCCTCAAGAAACCTGAAGACGAATGTGTTAAGATTCTTGGGGAACACCCGTGGGTGGAGGTTGTGAGTAGACCAGGAAGGGAAGCCCAGCCACAGTCTCTTCCTAGTGCCTGCGTGGGCCGGGCCCCCAGGCCTGTCACACCTAGACCTCCAAGAGCCCTGTTGCCTTGTGTGTTTATTACCCTGTCATATTTCCAGGCTTTTGGTGGTTTCATTTGAACAGCCCCTCTCCCTCAGCCATAGCTTTGGACTCCCATGTTTAAAGCTGGAGGACTTTCCCCATGAGCATGAGAGTGGCCCTGAGAACCTTCAAAGGACGCCAAGGGGAGAGTGAGCCTGAGGAGCAGTGGAGGCTTCCTGGTTGAGCTGGCTCCCCACGGGCCGTTTCCAGCCAGTGCCGTCCTTGGAGGTCCAGGTGTCATTTCATTAGAGAAGGTAACGTGCCTTCACATCGATAAGATTTCCCTACAGCTCTTTATTGCCTTAATCCAAAAAGAATTGACTACACTTGCTTTTTAAATTCATACCCTCCAACAGTAGGTATTTTAGTCCAGAGTAATGCTAAAATTCTCTTGCATTTTCTGTGCACATGTCCTTTTACCGTCTCCTGCCGAGAACGCCCTGTCCCCCAGCCTCTGTGTGCTCGTTTCTGCCTTGTCACTCTGATCTCGGTTTAAAGATCACTTCTTCAGTAAGGCCTTGCCTTCCCCCGACTCTAGACATCACCACGGTCCCTCCAGAAGCATGCTGCCCCGTTTTCTTTCTTCCACAGCACTTACTGTTGTCTGGATTATCTTGTTGTTGTTTTTATTTGTTCTTTGTGTTTATTGTCTGTTTCCTGCAGTGGAACCTAAGTTCATGGGATAGGGACTTTGTCTGTCTTTGGGACGCAGTGATCTCTGTACCCATATCCAGGACTGTTCCTGGCAGGCACCGAGGTGATCAATAGATTTGTGTTGAATTAATACATATTAGTTCAGGCAGGTAAGGGAAGCCAGAATCAAGCTGGACGGGAGGGCTTGCTGTCGGCCTGCCACCTCTGGGCTGTGACCCTGGGGTCTGGTTGGGGTGGGAGTGAGGGTGAGGACAGAGCTGGCGAGAGGGAGCTTAGGCTCTGCTCTGAGAATCAGGCTCCTGCACAGAGACATCTGGAGGTGGCTTTTGAGGAGACATAATAGCAATCCACACCCAGTGGATCACTTCACCCTCCCCACACGTATATATTCCAAAATTCCCACACCCCGTGTCTCCAATACTAGAGGAACCACCCCCTGCCATTTCTTGTGAGTGGGTGTGAGCACGTACACGCAGGCGTGGATGTTGTGCGGCTGGTGAGCGGAGGCCACAGGGACGACCGCAAACAAGTCTTCCCACGGACGTCGCTGAGTTCAGCTCTCCCTGGACTGGCTGGGAAGAAGAGCAGCCAGATGTCAGGCAGCCCCTAGTCCACATCTAGCCTGCAGGCTTGTTTTATTTGGCCCACACTATGCTTTTTAAAAAATTGTGCCAGCATTTGAATTTAGGAGATTTTACATAAAAATCGGGGTCTCCAGGTTATTTTGACAAACGGGAAGGCCCGGCACACTTAACCTGCGTTCTCGAGTGTCGAGCTCTGCTGGAGCAGAGGGGCGAGCCCAGCCTGGGCGGGTGGGCGGGCGCCCTGGGGGCCCCACACAGTGGGCGGTGGTGCATACCTGGCCTCCTCCTTCCTGCCACCTGCCTGGTCTGCGCCGGCATTTGTCATGGTCTCTTTTGGCTGCTGTAACAAAACACCACAGACTGGGTAGTTTATAAACAACAGAAATTTGTTGCTGCCAGGTCTGGGGGCTGGACATCTGAGTGAGAGCAGGTGCCAGCCCTTCTCCTGGGGGCCCTCTTGAGGGCCACCGGCTTCTCAGTGTGTCACCACGCGGTGGGAAGGGGCAAGTTTGCTCTCTGGGGCCTCTAGAGTGGACATGTACTATTGTATTAGTTTCAGGGGTACAACATAGTGATTTGACATTTATAGTCCATACAATGTGATCACCCCAATAAGTATTGTAACCAACCATCTGTCACCATACAAAGCTATTATACCATGGACTACTTTCCCTATGCTGCACGTGACACCCGATGACTTACTTGTTTTGTAACTGGAAGTTTTTACCTGACATTCTCCTTCACCTTTCTTCCCCACCACGTCCCCTATGGCAACCATTGACTTGTTTTCTGTACCTATGAATCTGTTTCTGGATTTTTTTTATTTGTTCATTTGTTTTGTTTTTTTTTTTAGATTCCATGTATAAATGAAATCGCACCCCTATGTTTATTACAGCATTATTTACAGTAGCCAAGTTATATGAGCAACCTAGGTGCCCATTGACAGAGGAATGGGTAAGGAAGAGGTGGTGTTTGTAACGGAATATTACTTGTCCATAAAAAAGAATGGAATGCTACCATTTGGGACAACATGGGTGGACCCAGATGGTACTGAGATAAGTAAGATGAAGACAAATACTGAGTGGAACCTCTTCTATAAACTCCTTAACCTCATTTCAAAGGGCTCCACACCCCTCCCCAATCACCTCCAGAGGGCCCCGCCTCCTAACACCACCACAGTGGGTTTTGGGGTGTCAGCACATGAGGGGACACAAACATTTACAGCACAGCGGTATTTGAATTTGCAGTCTCTGGCATAACGTCTGATCCACAAGGCAAATGCTCAATCAATTTATTATCAACACCTGGTTTTGTGTTGATAGCATTTGTGTGTAGATCATTCACTACCTGGAAGCCTTCCAGGGCCCTGCATTGCTTGACAAATGATGTCCGCATCCCTGAGCCGGCAGCAGTCGGACCTGTGTCTTCTGTACAGTCGTTCTCTTACAAAGGCGAAGGAGTTCCGCTCTGTGGACTTCTCACTTAGAGAAACAGCCCTGTAAGCGTGGGAGAGAGAGAAGTGAGGGAAACAGATAAACAGAGAAACTCAGAAGGAGACACAGAGAGAAGTAGATGAACTTGCACAGTCAAGCCGGCCTCCTCCCCACGTCCGTCCTACCCCCTGGACACGTGCCCAATGGCACTGAGTGCAGTGAAGCCTGAAACAAGTAATGTGTTTACAAAACTTACGTAAAACAAAGTGTGCCTGATTTTAGTTCCCTCACCACTAACAGCAGATGAAATACATTGTCGAGATAGTCGGGCTAACTGGGCGTCACAGACGTCCTTGAGGAAACACTGAAGAATGTTAAAGAACAGAGGGTAGCACTAGCTGACAAGGAGTAGAGGGAACCGGTGAAATGTGTCTACAGTGTGTGTGGTGCACACAGCGTCTCGCGCCCTGCTGTGATTGACGGTGCTCCTTCATCTGAGCGTAACTTCGTCTCACACCCACTTCTTCTGTTTGCATTTGAATTATATTTCAACACTGAAATCTATCTGTATCTTAATCTAATCACTTGGATTTTAAAACAAATCTTCATTTTGAAGACATGAACCAGAGTATGTATTTTAGCATTTTCAAAGTAACCCCCACTGCCCATCGGGGACCCCTCTGCCTCCTGCAGGAGCACCCCATCCTGGGCCAGCCCTTCTTCGTCCTTCATCCCTGCAGAACCACTGAGCTCATGAGTCCTGTGGTAAAGAATTCTCGGAAAATCAATAGGTAAGAAACACCATCAAGATACATTGGCTTTAACTCTTATTTTAAAATTGTAAATCTTTTTTGTGTGACTCTGAAAGCTAAGCTAAAAAAGAAATATTCTTTGTAATAATAATAATGGCTAACATTTATTGATTTTTTACTGTGTGCTAGGTGCTGTTCTATTTTAGATATATTAATGCATTGGATTTTTATAACGCCCCTATGAGCTGAATTCTATTATTTTATCCAGTTTACCAAGGAGGAAGCTAAAGTAAAGAAGGGTTAAATGATTTGGCCAAGGTCACAAAACCAGTTAAGTGGTGGAACTGGGATTTGAAAACTGGAAAGCCAGGCATTTTGTCTTGGAGCTGGGCCCTTCATCACTGCGTTGTAGTACCTAGCAAATGCTGTAAATTTTAAGTGTAAAATTGAAATTGTGAAGGGGAGTCTGGAGTCCCAGTGCCTCCAACCACCTCAGTGAGGGGTCCTCACAGTTTTTTTGGAGCTTGAGTCCTTGTCATTCAACAGGGTCGACATTTGGAAATGCCAGGATTTCCACTGGTGGGTGCACGTCTTTGAAGAAAACCTTGTTTCTTTTTTTGTCAGTAACTGATTTGTTGGTAACTGATTTTTTTTATCATTCACTCAAACTGCCCTGGAAACATTAGAATGGCTTGCATTTTCACTTGTTTCCCAGGAACATCAACTACATCACGTCTTGGCTGAGCATTGTTGGGCCAGTCGTTGGGCTGACTCTACCTCTAAGTTATGCCAGAGCATCCTCTCAGGACGAGTGAATGTCAGTCTTCAAGGTAAGAAGGAAAGGCTGGACCAAATGTGTCGCCATCACAAAGACCCCGGGGCCTCTGCTGCACTTGGATACATAGCCCTTGCCGGCCCCTGCTGGCCCCACAGTATATTCAGTTTGCTTTCATGTTTAATAGGCTGATCACTGACTTGTTAAAATTTTCCAACCAACCAGCACCCGATCCTTTAGGAGGCATGTTCCTTTGCTATGAGTGACACTCATACAACAAAGAATTGCATGGTTTTATTTTAGAGTTGATATTCTTGAAATAAGTCTTTACTGCTCAGTAAATCCTCTTTTATTCTCCTGGCTTTTGTTTTGTTCTTGTTTTTCAGAGTCTGCCCTTGAGCCAGGGAGCTTAGAAATGGCAGCAGGAAGAACACTGAGAGTCTATGTGCCCACCCTTGTTTTGATAGCACTGCTGCTGTGAGTTTCCAGCTCACCAAGATTTTGACGTGGATTTTTTTCCCTTGGAAGCAAACGTCTGCAGCAGCTGATAAACCGTGTATTTAGGAGGAGTAACTCAAAGACATAAATCAATATAAATAGCAGAAAAGTGACTCTAACTCAATGAAGGAAATACTGACATCATTAGGGCATTTTCAAGTCATTCTTTTATATTTCTGAGACTTGGTTTCTTCATCTTTGATGTAGGAATAACAAGCTACCTTAATAGGGTTGCTGTGAGAACCACAGGAGATCATTAATACATGAAAAAATATTGTCAAGTTTATTCTTTCTATAAACATTCATTAAATGGTCACCTCTCTTAATATTTGATTGTTATTCACCCAGTCTGTCAGTAAGTTTACTAGCCAGTAAGTTATTAAGATGAACCTAACCTTTTTGGTTGGGAGTTGCTTGTTTTGTCTTTCATTGTAATTTGCTAGGGGCTGAAACTGAGAGAAAAATGCAATTGGCTCTTTAGGGCATCTAGCTTAGTGCCTCTTAGTGAGGGACACACTGTAGAATCCCCTGAGGCTCTTTTACAAATGATGACCACCACCTTCCAATACAGCCCCTCTGGGGTGAGTCTGATGCACAGGCTTTGGGGGAACCTCTGGTCTGCATGTGCTCTGAGTACGGCATTCGTTTTACTGTTTTGGTCTCCCAACAGGCCTTTTCAGGTTCTTTGTATAGCTCTGCCAGGTTGGGCTGACTTCCTAATGTGCATTGGCCCAGACTTCCACATTACTGCGTTCTAGTACCTTAGCAAATGCTGTAAATTTTAAGTGTAAAATTGGAATCATGAAGGGGAGTCTGGAGTTCCAATGCCTCCAACCACCTCAGTGAGGGGTCCTCACAGTTTTTTTGGAGCCTGAGTCCAGGAGGCGCTGGTGCACCAGGCGGGCTCCTGGGGTGAGCCTTTAGGCTGAGAGCTTGTCCCCCGGCCAATGAAAAGGGCAGAGGCAGCTCTTCCTGTCTGTCCGTTCAGGGCTGAACTCTCAGAGGGAGTGGAAGTAGAGAAAGGGTTAATTTGAATTGCTAGAAAAGCTAAAAGTAAAATTTAAAACGCTGAGCTATACATATTCTTGCTGGGAGGAGAGCCTGCTTACATGCTTGCTGGGCATTTGGGTATTTACCACTTAACATCTTTTCAACTTCTGCAAGGGATTTCCCTGCCCCCACTCTCCTTAATGTGAACACAGATTCCTCAGCAAGTTGTTTCTCAAGCCATGTCATTTCTGGGGTAAAATATGTGTTTTATATGTATTATATACACACACAAAAAAAATACTTTTGTCATCTGGATTATGTACTTGTCTGGGAATGTTAGTTATCTTTTGCAAACAGATTCTGAGATAATAGTAGTCTGTCAGTTTGGGGCCAGTGTGTAGTTTTTTTTAAGTTAACATTGTTTTTCTCTTATTGATGGAGACCTGAGAGTTCGTGAGTGGCAGAAACGAGTTCTGAAGCGCTCCTGTAGGTTGTGGGGACCTCCCTTCCCGGATGGATCCCGCTCTTCAGGCAGCTGTTTCTTTTCAGATTATTTTTCACTTAAAAAAAACTTTTGATTTTTGGTTGACAAAAATTTTCATTTTTAATAATGCAGTTATATAACATGGGAAAGAAATTTGTTTTGTCAAAGTAACAGTCCTTTCTCTGGAATATGAGGGTTTTTTTCCTTTGGTTTTCCTCTCTCCCTAACCTAATTCAAAGCCCCTTCAGCCTGAAATAAGGCTAGTTAAAACTGCTACCAGCCACTCTCCTAAACTCTGCCTTTTTGTGTGGCCATGGAAAAATTGCTTCACCTCTTTGGGACTCAGTTTCCTCATTTGTTAGCTGTGTGATCTGTGAGCTCACTCCAGTCCTTGGGTTTGTGAAATAGGGAGAAATCTAGAGGTCCACACTGTGAGTCTGGTTAGCCGCTAGCTGTGTGACTAGGCCAATTTTCTTAATCTCTTTTGGTCTTTTACCATTTCCATCAGGGAAAAAAAACCCAAAAACCAGAAAACGCCTATACTATCTATCCCACCTACCTAACAAGAGCATAGAGTAGATCAAAACAGTACGTAAACCCAGAGGAGCTTCCTAACCAACAGAGCGCCACGTGGCATAAGGGGGATAAGGGGTGGCTGGCCCCTGCTCAGGTGGGGAGGCCTGCACACCTACTCCTTCCTGCCTTGTAACAGGGTGCAGCCAAGAAGGGGGACCCCAAATAGGGATTTGAAATGGGGTCCAGGACTCAAGGTGTCCAGGAAATATTAGGATGTGCCCCCCCTTCCCCTACAGATGTGAGTTGGGGGAAGGGACAAATGGAGCAGGGCCATTGAGAGCTGTATTGCAGCTTTGCAGCTAACCTCTGGTGTGGTCATTTAACATATCTATAACCTTTAACTGGTTGCTTAGGTATGTTAAATAGCTGTGGCCATGCTCTGAGCCAGGGGGATGGAAGTGACTTCCCCACTAAGACATAACTGGGAGGCAGGTCCCCTGAGTTACAGTGCCTGTGTGGAAGCTTGGAGAAGATTGGCTCCATGACATGGGGCCACGCCTGCCCAAACTCACGGTGGCAGCCCAGTAAAGCTGGAAGGCTTTGAGAGTACTGGCAGGTGTAACTGATTGTAGGAGTGTTACAGAACAGAACAAGGGGGGCCTGGGACGATATAGTATTATTTAAAAGGCCCCCAGGTCCGTCATGTCCGCCGCCTGAGGAAAGACGTCTCTCAATGCCAGAGATTCGTGAAAAGGAAAGGAAATGTTTATTTAATGCTATACAAACTTAAAGTAGTAACCTAATGTCTTTATCAAAAATCCCAAAGTCCCCCAAAACACCCACAAACAGACACAGTCCTTCCTTCCTTCCCCCTTTGCCCAGTCCAGAGTACTGTATCTCAGGAAAGGAAATAGAAGTCCATGACTCAGGCAGTCCTCTGGTTATTCCCAGTTAGTACTCCGTCTCGACTGGGAGACCTCCCTGGGTTCCCGGCACCCTCGGCTGAATCACCGGGATCTCTGCTAAAACCAGGTGGTGGTTCCCCCTTCTAAAGCTGCGGGGATCTCCACTCTGCCAAAGCCGCGTGGTTCTCTCTCCTCATGGCCGCCAGGTCTGGGTTTTAAATCCCCGTGGCCAATCTTCCTCTGCAGCCTCATTTCCGACTCCTCCCACACTCGGCTTCACTTGCCAGAATTCATATCCTTCCAGCTTTACTGGGCTGCCATCATGAGTCTGGGCAGGTGTGGCCCCCATGTCCTGGAGCCAATCTTCTCTGAGCTCCCACGCAGGCGCTGTAGCTTGGGGGGATCTGCCCCCAGTCACGTCTTGGTGGGGAAGTTACTTCCATTCCCCTGGCTCAGAGATGATCACAGCTATTTAACATATCCATGCAACCAGCCAAAGGCTATAGATATGTTAAATGACCATGCCAGAGGGTAGCTGCAAGGCTGTTGCTATGCAAAACAGCTCTCAATGGCCCTGCTCCATTTGTCCCTCCCCCCAACCCACACCCTGGGCGGGGGGGGGTGGAGACATCTTAAAATCTCCTGGACACCTTAAGTTCTGGACCCCATTTCAAATGCCCACTTGGGGTCCCCCCTCTTGGCTGCACCCGGTAACAGGAGGAGTCAGAAATGAGGTTGCAGAGGAAGATTGGCGCAGGGGTTTAAACCCAGACTCAGCAGCCATTGAAGGGGGGTAACTGCGAGGCTTTGGCAGAGTGGAAACTCCCGCAGCCATTGTGCAGAGAGAACCACTCGGCTTTGTCAGAGTGGCGACCCCTCTCCCCGCAGCCATTGGAGGGAGAACCACATGGTTTTGGCTGAGTGGGGACTCCCTTGGCCCTGGGAGAGAGAACCACATGGCTTTGCCAGAGTGGGGACCCTTGCAGCTTTAGAAGGGGAAGCACCACCCAGTTTTAGCAGAGATCCCGGCAACACAGCTGATGGTGCCGGGAACCGAGGGAGGCCTACCAGCTGAGACAGATTACTAGGAAGAACTGGGGTCTGCCTGAGCCACGGACTTCTATTTCTTTTCCTGAGACATGGTACCCCAGATTGGGCAAAGGGAGAAGGAAGGACTGTGTGTGTTTGTGGGTGTTTTAAGGGACTTTGGGATTTTGATGAAGACATTAGGTCACTACTTTAAGTCTGTATAGCATTAAATAAACATTTCCTTTCCTTTCCATGAATCTCTGGCATTGAGAGACGCCTTTCCTCTGGCAGCAGACATAACGAACCTGGGGGGTTCCTTTCGGTAATAGCATATCGCCCTTAGGCCCCCCCTTGCTGTTCTGTAACAACTTCACTTCACGCCCAACTCCTGCCCAACATGAACGGCTTGGATCTGGCAAGTCTTCTCTGCCCACATGCTTACCTGACCCCTGCTCATGCTGGTTCCCACCGGGGGAAACGGTACCTTTCCCATCTGTCTCCCCAGTCTCAACCTCCTCTCTGTGATCCCCTCCCTCACACCGCCATCGCAGACCAGCACAGGCCCCGCTGGGTGACCTCTCCTGGTGTTACTCACTGTGCTTATTTGCATTTAATTGTCTCCCTTTCACTCTGATTTCTTTCCCATCTTAATTACGGGTAGTAAGTAACTTAAGGTGATGATCCACTTCCGGGGGTATGTTCTAAGGTGGCACAAGGGAAAGAGTTGCTTCCCGAAGACCAGAGTGACTCAGAGAAGGCGGGTCTGCGGGCGCCTGAGGGCTCCGGTTGGTTGAGCGACCAATGGAAGGGCCAGAGTCGCTGTTGATCATCAGGTCCTAGCCTACAAGCTGGAAGTTAAGAATACAGGACTGACCACCCCTCCAAGGAAAATGTATTAAAATAAAGGAAAAAAGATGTCAAAACTCCCAAGATTGGTATAGTTTTTACTTCTACTCTGAAGATAGTAGGCAGTGGAGATCTATATGGTCCAAGCTGACTCTTTCATAACTCAGAAAGCTGATATTCCAGGGAGTAGGGGTTTATTTAGAATTAAATTTTGAGAATAAGAATATGCAAATATTCACTGCAGCAGAAACTTACTGACTTCCTCTTATGTACAGAGCCCGAAGCTAGGTGCCAGGGACTGCAAACAGAAAGGTGTGACCCTAGCTCATAAGAATGCCTCAGTCTGCTGGAGAAGGAGACAGACCAGAGGAAGATTCAGGGGCAGTAAGACATGTACCGTTGCCGAGGTGTGGAAGGCAGGTACAAGGGAACATCTGCATAAGAGGAATGTGATGGAGCCCCATCGAGGACGGAGGAGAGCCTTGAAGGTGCACGTGGGGGAATGGCGAAGGGTGAGGCTGGCTGGCAGGACTGGGGCCAGGGCTGGGGGAGCCTTTATTGACACACTGAAAATTTATATTTGGCCTAAAAACCACAAAGAGCTGCTGAGGGAATATTCAAGTAAAGGAGTTAAAGTGATCACATTTGCAAATGGGAAAGAACCTGTATCTTTTAAATGATGACTGCGTATAGCTAAGGACATATACAGAGTCAGTTTTTTCACCAGCAGGTACTAGTCCATTGGCTTTAGAAGGTACAGCAGTGCAGCAAGGCTGGGAGTAGGCCAGGACGCTCTTCAGTTTTGCCTGGAGCCGTCCAGAAAGAAACCTGAGGGTGTCCTTAGGGGCCTGACCCCTGGCTTCCTGATTTATCCGGGCAAGTAACTGTACTCTCTGAGCCTCTGTTTCTTAATGTATTAAATGGAAGGAAGTGTATTAGATGAAGTAAAATCAATTAATGAGTTTATGGCCAGTATTTTTTTTTTTATGAAATAGAGCATGTCTAGGAAAATTACTCCCCATGTTTCTCCTTTGCTCTCACAGTACTACCAAACTCACAATACTTCTGATAGCAGGTGTGTGGGATTTCCAAACATCAACCAATTCGGTAACACCAGCTCAGTGTCCTACAATACAATTCTGATAGTCAGTTCTGACACTATCTACCTGGAGTTAGCATCAGATCTTGTACATCAAGAGTTCAGTCCCACAGGGTCAAGAGTTCAATCTCCCATTTAAGAGTCCAGTCTCAAGTCCCAGGTTGTCACCTGTATTTTTAACCAGCCAGGACCCCTTCCTTGGGTTCAATAATTTGCTGCAATGGCTCATAGTACTCAGGGAAACACTTATGTCTACCAGTTTATTATATAATAAAGTATATGATAAATAGGAAGATATGGATTATATATATATATATATATGAGACAAGGCCCAGAAGGGTTCCAAGTGCAGGAGCTTCCATGCCAATGGCATTGGGGTGTGTCACCCTCCCAGCATGCAGAGGTGTTCACCATCCTGGAAGCTCTCTGAGCCCTGTGCTTTGGGGGTTTTATGGAGGCTTCCTTACATGGTGTGATTGATTGTTTACTCCACTTCTGTTCCCTGACCCCTTCCCAAATGATGGGGAATGGGACTGTAAGTTCCAAGCTTCTCATCAGAGCTTGATCTTTTTTGGTGATCAGCCCCCATCGTGAAGCTATTCAGGAGCCCACCAAGACTTGCCTCATTAGAACAAATGACACTCTGATGACCCAGGAAATTCCAAGGGTCTGGGGGCTGAGACCAAAATATGTATTTTCTGTTATTTTACAAATACATAGGAAAAATGTGTTGCACATATATAAGGATATTATTGTTTTACAAAGCTTTGGTTTCAACTACATTCTTGTGTGTGTATGTATATATGTACACACACACACACACACACATACACTTATATATATATGGATATATATGTGCGTGTGCTAGGTTGTGATGAAATTGTATTTCTAACTCCACAGAGCATTCAGAGATTTGAAAACCAAAAATAGATAAGCTCCCTTCCAATTCTAAGTCCCCTGATTTCCACCTTATATTGCTGACCAGTGGGCTGCTGAAGGTTGTGCTAGAAGGATATAAGAAGCACTTAACTATTATTGTGCACATTGCACTGAGCTACTTTAATATGTGCCTAGGTTCCCGTAGCAACCCCACTGGATATTTATGAGGCTTGTCTGTAGAAGTGCTTTCACATTTTTATTCTTGAATTTGGTAGTGTTCCTTCAAGCGGTGCGTGCTTTTATTCCACTTTTGTGGTGTCAATAGCGCCACCTAGTGGTAATATAGCCTTATTGCAGGTATTTTGTATTCTAGAACATTAGAGCTGAAAGTGATTTTAGAGATCAGTCCTATTTTATAAACTGTTTTAAAAAAAACTCGAAACTCACAT